TGAATTTTTGAAGTTTAGGCATGTCCGCTCCGAAGTCTCTAAGCGGCGCTCCACCATTTGACTCCGCCAGCCACATAACAGCCTCGTCAGCCCGCCTTTTCGCACCGAGAGTTGGTTGGGCCTGATCTCCTCCGTTGATGAAATAAATGCCCGATCGGATGACTCTCCATTATCGTCCCCAAGTGACCTAACCCGTAAGTCGTTCACACTAAAACCTTAGGATCTTCACCTAGACTCAACCAAATTGTATGGGGTTTATTTCTAAACCTTCATCTACTCGAGATGAACATATCTATATGGTTAATCTTAATCAAGTATGAAATCAAGCCAATGGAGAATCAAAATAAGCTCAGGCTAGGGTTGGAGCTCAATACATTTGTTCGAGAGGGGAGGCCTCAATCAAATGGTTGTGGGAGGTTCCCACCACCGGCAACGAACGAACCTCCATATGAAGCCTTGTGCTCTGGTGAATTGTCTAGATATGATTTCGATCAAGGTGGAATTCAGGTGTTGGTCTAGAGCTAGGTTAGAGGCTATTTGAGAGAGGGCTTTCGTGGGATGGGGAATCAATTCCTACATATAATGAAGCAAATAATAAAAACAAGATTATTTATGAACTTCATAAATTCATGATCAGAATAATGGGGTTATGAATCTATACTTGATAGATATTGCTTGGGGTCCCCTACGCATCATGAAATCATAACTAATTTATGATGCAAATGACTGTAGATTTCATACAAGTTATTAGTCCGAAGGAAACAAAAATACTAATAACTCTAATGTTTATGTTAAAATGAATAATAAATTTGATGACAACATAGGTTATTATGAAATTCTCAAAGAGTAATCCAATTACAATATAATAGCTCTATTGAGAGAAATGTATTATTGTTCAATTGTAATTGGTTTGATCATGTTCCTAATTATGAAACAAGAGTAAATAAGTCGTATAATATCGTTGAAATTAAAATAAATAGATTATATACTAAAATTAATTCTTTCATTCTAGTAAAACAAGCCAGTGAGGCATATTATTTTTGATATCCCCATTGAGTAAGAGATAAAATAGATTGGGTTGTTTCCATCAAGAGTAAATTCAGAGCTACAATAGATATTCAAAATAATATTGAACCCACTCATCATGAAAGAGAAATGTTAGATTTTTTTCATTCCAGTTGATTCCATTCATGAAGGGAAAATTTTAAAGGATGTCTGTGGTGCAAGTGAAAAAATTACTCTTAATGAGTAAAAATCTGGTGATAGTTTATATGAAGAATTCTAAGTTCATCCTTTAGTCACACATCTAATAATGCAAAATAAGATGTGTACATTATTTAACTTCTTTTATTAACAATTTTTCTATTTACTATTTAATCTTCTATTTACAATTTCCTCTTCTATTTATTGTTTAAAACTTTATTTTCAGTAGTGATAGTTAGTGGATTGTACTTGATATTTGATCGTACTTTTATTTACAATTATTATTTATGTTTTAAATAATGATGATTTATAGATTGCACTTTATATTTTGATCATACTTTTATTCACTGTTATTACTTATGTTTTCTATTAGATAATTTATAAATTGCTCTTTACGTTTTGATTTTACTTTTATTTTTTATTCTTACTTTTGTTTTAAGTTGTGATTGTTTATAAATTACACTTTACATTTTGTTTGTACTTCTATTTAATATTTTTATTTCTTCAGGTATCTTAATTTTTGTGATCTACACTAATTAATTCTTTTTTCTTAGTGCACATGGCTTCGGGAGGTAGTGATGAAGTCCCTCCTTGCGGGGCATTCCTTCATAGTTTTAGTAGAAAGAATAGTATAGCTTCATGATGATGTAGAATATAGACAAGCACTACTATCTCAATGAATGCCACAACTTTTATTTCGTCTGCTCCCTCTGCACATGCCTTCAACCCGACGCCATCACCACCGAACCACATCCGGTCTCCTCCTACCATACCACCACCATCGCCTACATTCCATGAAGATGCATGTCCTACTTCTACAGATCAAAATGCACCAGGCAGCAGATGACACATATTTGACCTAGACCTCATTGGAATTATGTAAGTACTATTAGATTACAAAAAAAAAAAATTTATATTGTATATTTTTATTTATTAAATAAATAAAATGTTATTTTCTAATTTTATCAACCAACATATTCTGCTCATGCTATCAAGGACATGATTCAAAGCAAGTTTGATGCTTCGTAGTTATTTTGGATGGAGGTTTTGATTGAAGTACGACATAAGTGGTTTAGAGATTTTGAGATAAATCTTAAACAGTAATCTCAATTTATACAAATGTAACCATCTAGCATATTGTTATTCATTATGTAGAAGTAGTTCTTGTGGTAGCCTGAGCATCATGCACATATTAGGAGGTGTGTGTGAAATGTTTACTGAGGCACGCAATATGGGTCAATGCCTTCTGTAGCTCGAGAAGGGCATGTGCAACCAATTACGTAATGCCTGGGATAATCTTAACTATGTCAACAAGAGTCATCAGGTGAAATAGAACTAAGCCTCTGATTATGAGGGTATGGGCGCTTGCACACTAGAGAGGCTCTCCCACATATAGTGTATTAGAGGATGATAGTAAGCGTTATTTTTTGTGTTAAACTTAGTGGCAAATAATTATTTAAAAATATTTTTTCTTACCTTAACAGACACTATAGATATGATGAGAGCCCATTGTCACTATGCTACTTTCTTGTACCCATCAACATTAGTCATATCATCAGTGGACTAACACTAGATCTCAGACATCACATCTAAACGACTAATAGTAATTTGTTTATCATTTTAATTATTTTACAAATTTATTTTTATCTCTAACTATTCTTCGCATTTTTTTTTGTAGGACGAACACTAGAGATTGAAATAGGTTTAGAGCCAGCATTTAGGAGGAATTCCTATCTATGGTAGTGACTAGTTAGACAATAAGCTTTGAAGATAAATTATTGGGGTAAGAAGAAAGGAAGGATTTATGGCTCGGGGTCACAACGACATGCGTAAGACGCACATCATGCATTTTTTTGAGCAGAACTCAACATCTAACAAGGACGAAGAAGTTCATGAGCAGGTTTCGACAATCACTTCAGATATAAAGACTAGAGTAGTCCCTCAACTCGCTTAGATGGAGTCAAGAATGAAGATTGATTTGGAGGCAGTGCGGAGTGAGGCATGTCAGGAGGGAAGCATCCTATGGAGGTGGAGGCGAAGGAGGACGAGGTTGAAGAGATTGATGATAATTATGATTGTTTCTATTTCTTAGAAATATAAGTACTAGCAATATATTGGTTACATACATATTATTTTATTTTCCTTTATTTAATACATTATGATTGCATTTATTTTTAATTTGTGAGTGTCTTCCTATCGTTCTAGTTTGCTATCTATGTGGATAGATAATTTAGATTGTGTGTTGTATATTTCATATATTTTTGTGATGCAATTTTAAATGTGAAAATTCAAATAAAATGAAGGAGGTTTTTTTTTTTTTTTTTCAGATACAATTTTTCAATGACCAACCGACTATTTTCCAATGTGCTATCAAAATCCAAAAATGCTCGTCGAATTTTCAACTAACGACAAACTGATGAGTATCCATCAGTTTCTCATAAGGGATGAATCGAAGCGTACGTCTCCGTCAAAAATCATAACGACCGGTAATAGACCGTTAGAATGTCATAAAAACAACGCATTGAAAAGCTGTCAGAAATTGACTTTCTGACTATCATAAAACTGGCAACCCTTTAACCGTTGGATACTCACTTTTTTTAGGAACTGACGGAAATGCCATTATTTTCGACCAGTTGAGGCCACCATAAATCAGCAAAGTTCTGTAGTGGCACAATTCATCATGATTCTATGAGTTTAATAAATGTTTCAATCACTCTTAAGATGAGAGATCCTTAATTGATGTTATCAATTCTTAAGCAATCTATTAGTTGTTTTGAGTTTTAAGAGTTTTTATGTTATAGATGTAGTTTTGACAAAGATACCTATTGAGAAGACTCACGTGATTGAGGACTCTGACATATCTTGTTTGAGTAAGTTTTAATATGCCAATGACACGCTCAAAAAAAACCAAGAAAGCTGACAATAATGACAAAGGAAATCGTTTTCCCACATGTTAGGAAATAAAGAGAGAATTTTCTTCAACAAAAAAAAAAAAAAAAAAAAAAAAAAAATTTCATTTAAGAAAAAAGTTAAATATTTAAGTTACTTCTAACATCTTTAAATCTTTGTATTTGCTTATACAATACTTAAACCCTTGAATCACATCTAACATCCAATACTAACCACCTATAATACTATTCTTTCTGGCAAGTATTCAAGCTAAGTCGTTGTCTATATATAAATTAAGGTTGTTTTATAATAAAATGACTAATAAAATTAGTAACTAAGAAACATATAATAAGAAATCACTCGATATATATATATATAAAGCCGACTTACAAGCTAACGAGTTAAATTAGGACTAATTTTAACTGACTTGTTAGCTCATTCAGTTCAATTCAGAAGCCACTTATCGAGCCAAGCTCGAGCTGGCTCACGAACCAGCTTGACTCACACCCTTGGAAGGCCTGAACCCACATACAAATGAAAAGCAAAATTAATTTTACATGAATGAATTTGAACCCAAAGTAATTCATTAATTCTGTACAATATTTTTTCTCACAAACTCAATTCCCTATGTTTGATTCGAAGGCACCAATCATTGGCGACGTTTCAACTTCCAACCAATCAATCGCTTTCGATTGGCAGGCCATTTTTATTTTAAATATATTGATACTTGAAGGCGACTTTCTACTTTCAATGATATAAACTGCAACACGTTGACTCATTACGAATTGAAATTAAAATTGTAAGGAGGTGATAAAATTACAAAAAATGATGACAGTATGTAGACAATAAGAGTAGTTGATGGAAGTCTGGAGATAAATTAATGAAAAATAGATACAAATAGTTTGAAATAATATTTCAACCAAAACCATTAATGAAATCTCCTCCATTGCACAAACCATTCAATCACCTCTCCAAAAACAAAAAAAAACAATAATCCCATCCTCAACATTCTGCAAAAACAGAGCAGTAAATGAATGATGATACTGCAATGAGCCTGCACACCACTTTCTCTGTACAATCTCCATTCATTCCCACAAATCAAATGAATTGAAATACAAAAAGAAATAATCAAAATAATTCATGCGTTAACAAATCAAAACAAAAGAACACATTTTTCTATTCACAATTTCAGTTGCTTCAAATCAAGCAGACTAACTCGAAATGATCTCAAGCTCAGCCCACCACAGAGGAGATAGTTTCGGAGACACGGCCTCTGGTGTCATTGAAGTCATCACCCTCAACCGCGCAACTACATCCGCCATTGTTGGCCTCTCCTTTGGCACATGATTTATACAAAGCCGAATGACATCACAGAACGCAATTATATCTGCTTCTCTCACTAATTGCAGAGTAGGATCAACTATGCCGTTAAGTGGTCTCTTTCCAGTTAAGTATGATGAAGCCCACAGCACAAGCAGGCCATCATCTTTTGAAAATGGAAGTCTTCCAGATATGAGCTCCAATAGCAGTATGCCAAACTTGTAGACAATATCTTCCTGATTTGATAATGGTGGCTCGAAGTTATCCAGAACTTCGTAAGATAAACCAGTTTCATTTTCGTCGTTCCAGAATGAAAGATCTGAAATTTTTGCGGCTTGGTCTTCTGTTAAGTAAACGGTGGAGGAGTTCAGGTTTCTGAGAATCATAGGAGGGTTGAGCTTGTGCATGTGCTCGAGGCAATATGCAATTCCCATAGCGACGCGTAATCGAGCGGTCCAGTCTAGAGGTTCAGCTTCTTTTACTGTTTGATTTCAATAAGACAATGTTTAGGGGCATTTACAAATGTACAACCCAATTCTTAATATATTTACAAATCTAACACAGACTTTGCTTTTTTCACATTCATACCACTCAAATCTTTCATAACACATCAAAAGTGCCACTATTTTAACTTTTAAAAGTGAAATACACATTTTGATGCATCAGGTAAGGCCGTATAAATATATGTATGTACCAATTGAAGTTTACGTGTTAGATATGTAAATACACAAAAACTGAGTGGTATCTATGTAAATCTTCCAACAAATTAATGACAAAGTAATTATAGAGCCGAAAAAGAAGAGAGGTGCTTACTATGTAAATGCTCAAAAAGTGTCCCATTTGGAGAATATTCGAAAACCAACATTCGAGTGAAAGGTTCTTCTTCCTTGCAATATCCAATAAGATTCATAAAGTTCTTGTGGTTCACTCTGGACAGGACTGAGATCTGAAATCAAAACCTTAACGGTTGAAAAGCAAACTTCAAATATGAAACATATATTTATATCAATTTTAACATACCTTTTCCCTGAACAGAACCTCAGATTGATCGGACCAATCTTTTGCTGATTTGATCAAGCTTGAAGTAACAGCTATTTCAACTCCACTTGATAGTGTCCCTTTGTAAAATGAGCAACCAGTTAAAGTATCAATGATGTTGCTGAAATCCTCACAAGCTGTTTCGAGTTCTGATCGATTAAGGGATGGCACACCTGCCATTGAAACTTCACATGAGACATGGATGTGGAAATTGATTAGCATGTCCTGAATACTGATACTAAAACAAACCTGTAACTAATGCTTTCTGCAACTGGCCACTTAAACCTGTTTTCCAAGGCATCACAGAACCAACTTTGGCTTTCCGGGAGCATAGATAGTATATTAAAAATGAAGCAGAAAGTAAAAATACTCCAGCTCCAACTGATGCATAGATCTCCCAGCGTGTCTTCTTCTGTTTCTCAGCAGATTTTGCTGGTACTGATTCAGAATTATAATTCTTTGTTGATGTATGAACAGATTGGGTTGGTGCAGGAGCTGATGATGATTGGGGTTTGTCCAGTGATGGAGGTGGAGATGGTGAAACAATAGGTGAATGAGATTGAACAGCAGGAGATAATAATGGAGATTGAGATCTCAGTAGTGAAATTGTAGGAGAAGGTGATGGAGAATAATTTGGTGATGGAGATGGAGATTGAGATGGAGATTGAAATGGAAGTGGAGATGGAGATGGAGAATGAATCGGAGATGGTGATGGAGCAATTTCCGCATCTCTGGCATGACGCCGCCTTTCATGTAAAGGGTGTTTGCTTCTGTGTGTAATGTTTTCTTGCAGAAGTCTTCTTATAGCAGCGCTTTTGAAGTTCCTGACATAGATCGGATCCCCAGGTTATTCTCTCTTTTTATAGCAACCATTATTGCCATTTATTTTTCTAAATTTATAACTTAATGGTATTCAAAACAAGTGAAAACATTTTGAGAGAATTTAGAGTTAAGGGTCCCTAATGAAGCTAAGATGAACAAAAATTAACAAATCTATGTTCTTTTGCTATTTCTTTTACATGAAGTTCCAATTAATAGAAGTGAAGCAGTTTTTTAGAAAAGATTTCATGGGTCGACGGAAATTATTATCTACAAAAAGTTCTTCTTTACTAAAATAATGAAATTGAAACACCGCAAAACAAGCCGCCGTTACATCTGTTAAATATTATAAAATAGGGAAATTTAGATACATACCGCACAATCTTATGTATTATTTACATATGTAAACCTAAAGTTTGATATATACAAGGATAAAATATCATGATTTCAATTTGCTAATTAAACTTTGTATAGCAGCACACTGGAATTATCAAGGTTGTTTCAGATAGCATTTTAGATGATACTGAAGTTCAAGGGAGGGCAATATAACTACAATAAGTAAAAAAATATAAACCTGGGACAGAAAACTCTGAGAAAAAATCATGAATGCAATTATTAAACAGTAAATATGAAACTGAGTGAATCAATTAAATTTACATAACATATTATAATAACATTATATATGTAAAAACTACATGAATAGACTTATAAGTATAATATATTTCTGTATATTGACATGGCGGAATGCATGCTTCCATACCTCCTAAGAGATCCCCGACTTGAACATAACATATCTTCATCAACTTGAAACTCAGAAAGTATATCGAGTTCTTTTAGTTCTTTTGGGATGGTGAACATATTGTTTCCAAGAACACTGAAACAAAATATGCATAAAATTACATAAAATGCTAGTATTAGAAGAAATAATCATGGGGAAAACAATAAAATGCCATAGTCTCTACTTACAGTACTTTTAGGGAACTAACTCTGAGAAGCACACGCGGTAAAAGTCTGCTGAAATTATTTTGCCCCAAGTCCAACACCTCCAGCTCACTCAATTCAGTAATTGCTTCAGGTATAGTCCCAGAAAATAAATTGTTGTGCAGAATGCTGATTAATCAAAAATAAAAAAAAAAAAAAAAATGAATACTAGCTTACGAACACGAGAATATCATTTATACATTAAGGAATGCTTACAGTGACTTTAAATTAACGAGTTTTCTGATCTCTGATGTGAGTCTTCCTTGAAGACAAAGATCTCTCAAAATTCTGCAACAGAAGGAAAAGAAACCATAAATTATTATCCAAAGAAGAAACATGTTAACAGAAATTTTAAATCTTTTAACTGATTTTAGCCAAAGCGGTACAAAAAGCGTGCTTAAGTGATTTTTCATTCATAACAGGATTAAAATATTACAACAATCCTCCCTGCTTATTCAATTATCTTCACCACAGACCAAACTCAAGAGTTTCTAGTTTATGCTGGAGTCTACACCACCAAAAAAAAAGTCATCACAGAACATTTCTCTTATGAAATCCTCATAATTTTCCAAAGAGACCGCGTCAAACATTCAAAATTTTGGACCTCTAGAATGGAAATTATCAGCAGAAAAAAATACACGTCAAAGCTTACAAGTTCATTCTTATTGCATTCATTTCACGCCAAAATTGCACCTTCTAAAAAACAATCATCAAATTCTCAATGTGATGAATATCTCATCATCATCATTAACCTCAATTTCATTACTATGCGTCGGAAAAAAGATTTATTTCGATTCATATAAAACTAAATATCAGAATACGGATCAGATGAATTAAAATTACTCACAGAGATAGAACTCTCCCATCTTCAGAGCAATCCACACCAAACCAGAAACAGTGATCAACACCCGGTCTTCCCCAGTTGGAAAGAGCTCCAAAAGGATCAAACTCCACCTCTTCTCTGAATCTCAACAAAGCCCTGCCTGCATCAGAAATCAAAACCGTAAAATCATAACCAAATCCCAAACCACAAATCCAAAAAGTTATAATTATAAAAAAAAAAAATCATACCTTCTTCTTCAAGAGAATCGCAAAGTGCGAGTATCTCGCAGGAGAAAACAAGCAACAGCACTAGCAAGGAGCTCCACCATATCCTCCTTCTCTCCATGCTGATCGGCTCTTTTTCCACCTTTCCGGCAATCAAAACCCTATATTTCCCTAATCCTCGTCGAAAAAGCACCTTTTTTTAAATCGAAAAAACTCATTTAAAATTAAAAAGGAGGAAAGGAGCGACTTTTACATCTCTAGTAAGCTTTCACGCGAAACGCGGACCCTTTCTGCCTGCCGCTCTCTCTCTCTCTCTCTTTCCTTCTTTTGTTGCAAAGAAGCCATTGGGCAGCTTCCGAGAAATAGAAGAGAGGGAACCGGGAGCAGGGGTGCAGAGGCTTGCTGGTGACCAGCTCGTTATATTTTGAGCTCAAAAATTGAATTTGTGTTGGACTCATTTGCTTAGAGAGCCGAATACGAGCTGTTCATGAACAAATAATCATGTTGACAACCTTAATCACATAGTCATAAGATGTTAAGAATTAGGGCAAGATTTAAAACATCATTTGAATCTAATTTAATAATATTTATTCTATTTTCTTAATTACTATTTTTAATTGATTATAAATCTTTGTAGCCTTGTAGCCAATTAAATTTTTTTATAAATACTACTCATCAGATATATATATATATATATAAATATATATATATATAATTTTTATATAAATAATTATATATTGGTAGTATTTCAAGTTAAAACGAGCCGAACACGAATAATACGAACAATTGGCTCGTTAACTTAGCGAACGAGCCGAGCACGAGCTTCTTAACGAGCCGAACACGAGCTGTTCTCGAACTACGAGCTGTTTTGACAGCGCTAGCCGGGAGGGTATAAAGAGCAAAGAGCCTTTTGTCGTTGGGTGGTACAAAAAGCAATCATTTTAAAAGGAAATGTTTATATAAAAACTTGATTAAGTTTTAATAACTAATTAAAATTTGTTCGAAATTTTTAAAAATATCTTTTTTTCATTGATATTGTATTTTTTTTGGATCAATTACTTGCACACCACCCGAGATTTAGTATTTACAAATCAATTACTGACTTCCATCCATTTTTCGAATTCTCACTCCATATTTATTCATTTTCAACAGGTTCTCAATGGTTTGAACATGACATTTATAAATATATTGATTCTATTATTTAAAAAATTCATATAGATGATTAATTTGTAAATGATTTATATAATATTTTCTTAATCCCAGCTGTCTTATAATGCTTCTATATTTCGGTATGTGGCAATCTCGGAATGCTTGCAGACATGAGAGGCACTACACACGGCATTTCAACAAGAAATCGACAGTTCTATTCCAATAGATTTTGGATCTGTGGCCTAATCGAATAAGATTAATAGAAGATCCAAAAAAAAAAAAACACAATCCATTCTCCTGGAGAAAAATGCTTATCTAAACCAAGCTAGCTCTCCTGCTAGCAACTTAACTGAACGGGTCATCAAAAGCAATTTTAAAAAAGAGTAGTTCATAAATATATTTACTTTTTTTTTATGGCAGGGCTAATTCAAATAAGCTACATTTGCTTAGCTGGATATATAAAATTCTATCGTTCAGCATCAATCTCGCGACATGTCAAGATCTCGAGATAAGTTTTTGAGCAAAAAATATTCAAACATTGATAAAAAAGTCATCAAAAAATCTGATTTCAGTAAACTTACATTCAAACTGACCGGTTTGACAAGAAGAACCTAATGTTATCAAAATTGGTCATATCCGAACCAAATCAAGCGCATATCAAACAATTAAACAGCTTTTGAAAGTTTTATGGACACATTTGGATGGTCAAACGAATGTCGATTCTGATGAGTCTATAGTCAAATCAAACGTCTTGAGAAGACGATTCCAACAAGCCCAAGATAACTCAATTATGATATCATTAAAGCACTCAAATGTTTATCAAATGTCATTCGATTGAGGGAAGCCCTCTGAGCCGTTCGATCAAAGTAATTCATATTCTGCATTAATTATACCCAGAACTCTATAAAGAGAGTCCCACCTCTCTTATGAGGGGGAGAGAAGAGCTTGAGACTTGAGAAATATCTTAAAACATTGAGAAGAAATTGAATTCTATCTCCACTCCTACCGCAGTTGACCATTGCCAACTACCGCCGACCATCTTGAACCATCATCAACCTCTGTCGACAACCACTTATCGTCTTCAATCGTCTTCAACCACCTTCGACCCCGACCGACCGGACACCCCCAATCGCTATTGGTCGCCGCCATTCGACGTTGTAACATGGAAAATCTAGTAACAATTTCTCGCCTGTGTGAGAAGCGGTTGCACTGCAATCATTTTTTCTATAATGAAATTCATCAACTTTGTTAGTTTTTGTGGTTTTTCCATTTTCAGATTTTTCAAGTAAAAACTTCTGGTGTCATTATTAGTTGCTTTCTTTTTTCTAAGTGTGTATTGAATATTTGTGCCATGCTAAGACGATAATCTGCTATTCTGTTGCCACAAATTTTCTAGCACGCATCGGTTATCATTTAATTATAGGGGCCAACCTCTCTAAAAATTTTAATTTTAATAAAAAAAAAAATTCATGATTAAAGTTGTTATGAGTTGAACTTTTAGACAAAAAAATGGACAGTATATTTGTAGTGTGGCGATCTATAGTGAAAGATCTAAGAAGTAGTTTAGGACACTCTTATACCTATGTGTGGTATTTAAAGGTATAAACATAAACATCAGCCAACTAATTATTTTTTACTACTGAATTTTCTTGCCTCATCTTATTTATTCACATGTTTAGTCTTTAGTTATTTCGGCAGAACGACTGCTCAAATTTGACAAATTGTGATTCTTTACTTTATTTTCAACCAGATTAGTTAAATATCTAGTGTTATTTAGATAATATCACACTCGTAATTTTCGATAAGAACGAAACAATTGAAATATCCAACTCAATATCCATTCAGCTTAGATTATATTTGAGCCACCTAAGTACTCTAATCTTGCTAATTAGTTTACTCCTCTTTCATACCACATCTAATATTTCATGAAATATTTTTTTTTTTTTTGTATTTTGCTGCTGTATTTTGCTGCATAATAAGTGGTTTCTTTCTATCATTGTTAGCCAAGGATTATCAAGTGCATCTCTTAAGACAAATTAAAAGCCATGTCCTAAAGATTCCTTCAATCTCCATAATGGATTTCTTTGTTGAACCTACTCATTCTTGAATAATTTTCTCTGAGTAATAAATTGATCGTGCGATGCCAGTTTATATAGAGCATAACATCAATCTCTCCCTCCCCATGGCATGTTTTATATTATTTCTATTCGTATGAGATTTGTCGGCAAATACCCTTTGTCATAATCATCAAGTGGATCTACAACCAACTTAATTCTTATGATTACTCTTTCTTTGCACATTTAACTTCATGCACAAACTCAAGATATTAGTTCTCTTTTGAAGTATAATTTGATGGCTATTTTATTATATTTTTGATGTCTAAATCTTGCAGCCGGTCCAAATCCTGTGGGTCCAGCTCTGCGCCGGTTCAAATTCCATCTGCTCAACTTCTGGACAGGTCCAAATCTCACCAACTCTCATTTGAGCGGCCAACTGTGGCATACCGCTCATACTCGACAAGAAGAACCCAATGTTACCAAAATTGGTCTAATCCAAACAAAATCAAGCCATTAAAGTACTTCTGAAGTTCTCTAGACACATTCAGAAGGTCAAATGAATATTGATTCTGATGAGTATTTAGTCAAATTGAGCGTCTTGATAAGGCGATTCCAACAGTCCAAGTTCACTCAATTTTAACTTCATTAAAGAACTCAAATGGTTATCAAATGCCATCTGATCGAGGGAAGCCCTCTGAGCCGTCCGATCAAAGTACTTCATATTTTTGTATTAATTACATCCAGAACTCTATAAATAGAGTTCCACCCTTCTTATGAGTGGGAGAGGAGAGCTTGAAACTTGAGAAAGAACTTGAAACTTTGAGAAGAAACTGAGGTTTAACACCACTTATTTCGTTGTCGACCACTGACAACCGTCGCCGACCGCCGTGGACCATCGTTGATTTCTATCGACACACTGAATGTGTCAAGCACTTCTATCACCATTGACCATCGCCGACCTCTGTCGATCACTGTCAACCACTGTAGACCCCAACCGACCGCACGCCCCCAATTGCTATCGGTTGCCGCCATTCGATATTATAGCTGAACCGAGCATTTGAAAAATTACTCATATCTTGGTTCAATAAAAGTTTATTCGTGGTTATTTTATTAATTAATAGAACACTCGTTCACACTTTCATAAACACTTGATTATTAAACAAACAAGTTTTAACAATTTGTTGTTCGCTTCATTTATGTTCCGAAGTGGTAATATTTAAAACTCATGAAAAATCTTGATTTCGGCTCGATTTCTCCTTGTTCATGAATAATATCGTTAAAATGTTAGCATTTTTGACACGACTCAATCATTTTTTGAGAGTTGTACAAACTTTTTCAGTAAATATTTAATTTATGTTGAATTTAGCAGTTCTGTATAGTTTATTGATTTAAGGTTATGATTTTTTCACGATTCCGTGCTTATATATCTAATTTTTATAAAATGCAATGTATCACATATGTTTGTGGCGATTTAGTTAAACTAGTTCATCACCTACTGGGTCTTGATTCTGCAAGTTAGAATGAGTGCTTGTGAGAATTAGTTTGGCTGAATAGTTCGCCTCTGTCGCATCTCAGCCCACCCTTAAAGGAGGTCAATTAAGTTGTGGCACATTGCACCTTTTAGGATGTTGAATCCTAAAATACACTTTGAGTCATGCTAA